CTTGGCGAGAACTTGCTAGGGCTGATCAAGCGACATCAGGCAAGTCGATTCCCAGCTCATGTACTTTAGGTTAGATTCTGACATTTTGTGTATGTGGGCTCAGGCAAAGGGCGTGCCCGTACATCTCGTGAAGCAAATAGCTAAACAGATACTACTCGGTCTTGACTACATGCACCGACAATGCGGCGTGATCCACACTGTGAGCACGACATACGCACTCACTCGTCCTTTCTCGATAACTCATGTGATTGTGGTGGTATAGGACTTGAAGCCCGAAAATGTATTAATATGTATAGACGATGTCGAAGCTGTGGTTCAGGTAGGTAGCTCGAGGCAATCGCCGAGCGCGTACTGATTCCGTTTCCAGAGTGAGATGGAGTCTTCGCAGAATAGTCAGGTGCCGACCAAGATTGTGGGAGTGCCCCCCTCGCGGGGCCGTGGTGGCAACCAGACTCCACGCTCCGAGTCGATATTCATCACTGGTTCGCAGCCGTTACCCTCGCCTTCCTCAAGTTTTGGCACGAGTCCTGCCTTTGATAAATGGGCGTTTGGCATGACACGCATCGAGGGAGAAGAGCAGGAAGCGTCCACTAGCGTGCGCGATAAGTCGGAGGTGAAGACCGAGAGTGTCGAACGTGCGATGGGCACTGTGCGCGTGAATGACTCTCCCGGGCCGTCCACAACCCCCGCGAAACCCACCGCGGCTGGTGGGCCCAGTCTGCTCACTCGCAATGCGCCACAGGATGTGCATAGCCAGCAGCCGACGCCTAGTAGCAGCAACGTGAGCAACGGGAAGAGCAACAGCTCCCCCTCGCCTCATGGCATTCAAGCGGTCAAGGCTCAGGTCGTAGCCGCCGGAGAGGGCTCCTCGCCATCGCCCGGCCCACCCGAGACTAAGAACATCTCCTCGGCCGAGGCACTAGCCATGACCGAACGGATTACCGTCAAAATCGCAGATCTGGGCAACGCGTGTTGGACAGACCATCACTTCACGGACGATATCCAGACGCGACAGTATAGGTGTCCGGAGGTTATCCTCGGCGCCAAGTGGGGAACGAGCGCTGACGTGTGGAGCGCGGCGTGTGTGGTGAGTTTTCGCTCTTTTGGTCTTCGGAGATTACGGTAAAGCTAACGATAGGCGACTGAATTAGATCTTTGAGCTCTTGACGGGTGGAGATTACCTTTTCGATCCTCAGTCTGGAACCAAGTACAGCAAGGACGACGACCACATTGCGCAAATCATCGAGTTGTTGGGCGAGTTCCCGAAATCGCTTGCGTTCTCTGGCAAGTACAGCGGCGAATTTTTCAATCGAAAAGGTGGGATATCTGCTATCCAGCTAGTCGAACTGAATACTAACATTACGCCAGGCGAGCTGCGACACATCCACAAGCTCCGTTTCTGGCCGGTCGAGTCTGTCTTACACGACAAGTACCTGCTCCCACGCGCCGACGCGGACATGATTAGCTCATTCCTAACACCCATGATGCGCCTGAATCCCGAGAAACGCGCCCGCGCGGCCGACATGGTGAACCACGTCTGGCTCGAGGGCATTGTCGTACAGGGCGAGATCGATTTGATCTTGATGGCTGAGGCTGCTGAGCGCAAGGAGCGTGGACGGTCTGGGTCGCGCGCTGGAGGTTCGCAGCGAACCGCATCCGGCTCGACGTCCAAGTCCAAGTCGAAATCGGGCAGCAAGGGCGGGTCGCAGAGGCGGCCGAGCGGGCCGCGGGATCTGAAGTATGTGCAGGCGCTGAATGAAGCGTCTGTTGCGGATGCGATGAGGCCTGTCGACGAGGCTGCGCTGCTTGGTGGAAATGTGTAGGCTGGAGGTAATAGATTTTCTGGTCTCTGGTGCTGGAATTATGTTCTCTCATTATGCTACTCTCTACACGCACACACGTACACATTCACTGTGCTCTGATGACTTTCTCTCTCCCATTAGTATATGCCTAGTTTGTTACCCCTTCTCAGCTTTTTTTCTTTCGCTCGCGGTGACGCTGCATGCATCTCCGGGTTTTGTTCTTCCTGTGTGGTGTGGGTGTTATTCTTTCTTGATTTTCATTTCTTTTGGACTATGGCCGTCGATACAGGCTGTGGTCGTGGTACAGATGGTGGATAGCAATGCATTGAGTATTTGTTGAACAGTAGTGTGAAACAATGTTGTGCATTATTCGTAAAGGGTGATAATGAGACAAAGGGTACATAGACCACAAGGACAAAGACGAAATACAGTCCGAACGAAACATCCAGAAACCCAAGAAGAGTTCGCATGAATTCCATAGGAAAGAGAAAGGAGTTTTGACGTGGAAGTCGTCTACTGTAACGGCTCAAAGCTCATGCCGCCGTTCCTATACGCCGCTGCCATGTCGGCGATATCCATCTCCGGCGCGGTGTAATTCGCGAGCGCGGCCCTTTCTTTCTCAGTCAGCCTTCGGGGACGTGCGGTATCCCGAGACGAGTAGGGCGAAGTTGGCGGTGAAAAGGAGTTTGCGATGGGAGAAGTGGGGGACCGGCGTTGTTGGGGCTGGGAAGGCGTGTACCATGACCCTGGTGAGGTGGAGGACGTGGACGTAGAAGATATGCTGCTCGTGGAAGATGTGGAGTGCCTGTGTCCTTTGCTTGGGCGCGAAGTGTTTGGATCTGGGAGAAGAAACGCGCTTGCAGTGCGGCCGTGGCTCGGTCGCTGTAAATAAAATAAAGTTAGTACGCGTTGACGGTTAGGAGTCGAGAGTAATGAAGATTATCGCGATGGAATTAGGGGAATCAAGGTGGGGAATCAAAGTGCAAGAGAGGTACGCACTCGACCCATATTTTCGCTCACGTTCGGTGTAGCGGCAGGCGGCGAGTACAGCACATGGTTGGCAAACGCCGCAAGATCATCAAAGGTGAGCGAGAAGCCCTTGACGGTAGACATCGATGCAGAAGAGCGGGACATTGCTAGGACCGGTGCAAATGCAATCTGGACACAGACACAGGTGAGGGGGCTTGGTGGAGGTTACTGCGCATAACATCGGAACAAGAGGGGGTATATATCAAACTCTGGGAAGTGGCAAAAAAGGCGAATTGGCTCATTGTGCAAAGGAGTGAACGAGGGACGGACGCGTGTGGGTGTCGAAGCCCTATCGATCAATGGAGTCCAATTGTCCTTTGTTTAGCCCTGTGCGCTGCCCCTTCAGGGCGCTCTGAGCTATATGCACGCACGGTTGACAGCGACGACGGACGCATACAGTCTGCCTACAGTACGCCGTATATAATTTAATAACTGCAGCGTGAGACGGAGGCTGGCCGGCGACACAAGGCGAGGTGCGGTGGCGGTGAACCGGCGCTTGCTAAAGCGCCGGGAATTTCACGGTCGCACAGACCAGGCGGTGGGACCAGCTTGCGAGGGAGACAATGCTCGCAATTTGTTCGAAATACGGAGCCCGGAAGCTTGCTCTCAACTACCACTAGCACTTGCTCCCCCGTAACCCGTACTCAAACTCCCAGCCCGTTTTCCGTACTTGAATAACCGTCTAACTTCGCACAATGGCTCGTACCAAGGTTAGTATCCGTTTTATGTCGGTCGCAGCCTCGTCTGGCGTCGGCATTGTGTCCGTCGCAGTCGTGGCTTGCCCCGTCACCATCGTCGAGACAGACAACTGACGATCGTGCTTCTGTTTCCGCTCTTACCCGGCCCGCACCGCATCGTGCTGTCTCACACATGCGCATCACACCACCCGATTTGTCCACATCACTCGATGCGCCGCCGCCGTCACTACACCGCCACACAAATCCCGCCCTTCCAAATATGGAAATTGTCCAAACACAACGTCGGGAAATAGCAAACCGCCCGCAAGTCCACTGGAGGCAAGGCCCCCCGCAAGCAGCTCGCTACCAAGCAAGCCCGCAAGAGCGCACCCCAGACCACTGGTGGTGTCAAGAAGCCTCATCGTTTCCGTCCCGGAACCGTCGCTCTCCGTGAAATTCGTCGCTACCAGAAGAGCACTGAGCTCCTCATCCGCAAGCTGCCGTTCCAGCGTCTCGTGCGTGAGATTGCTCAGGACTTCAAGACTGACCTGCGCTTCCAGTCGTCGGCTGTCCTTGCGCTCCAGGAGGCTAGCGAGGGTAAGTTACTCGTGCGACTTTGGACTTGAGCTTTGTGCTTATGCATGGCATGCGTCTAGCCTACCTCGTCTCGCTCTTCGAGGACACCAATTTGGCCGCCATCCACGCCAAGCGTGTTACCATGTACGTCTCCAACGCCCTCATGTCGCTCCACACTCTCACTGACGTCACCCTATCCCTGCTAGTCAACCCAAGGACCTCGCCCTTGCACGCCGCCTCCGTGGTGAGCGCTCTTAAGCGCGTACTCCTATAAACCCGCCCTATGCACCCGTCTCTTCATTTTCTCTATTTGTTATCTCTTGGTGCATTTGGCCTTGACTGTTTCGATTTGTCTTGTTGTTTGTAGTCTTGGATTGAAGGCCCCGGCCTTGACCGGATGGAAAGCTTGTATCTAAGAGTTATATGAACATTCTAGTTTGCCTAATGCGTGTATGCGTGCACGAGCAAGTTGCGTGAGAACCTCGTGCCTTCCGTAGAGTGGAAGAGGTTGTTTGGAACGCCAAGTATATGCCTCTTTTGGCGTTCTCGGATGAAATGCTTTTACTATTTATGTGTGAGCCCTACTTTCATACCTGGCGTCTGCGCTTCTGATAAACACGCCTTCTTTTTTCTGTTGTAGGTTCTGCTGGCCTTCCAGCGGCTTGCGGGCTTTATCCCGTCCGTCTTGTTCCGCTGCCTGCCCCATGTCTCGGCGATACAACCCCCGAGTCTAATCTTTCTTCCTTTCTACTCGGATGTTATTGAGCAGAATCGAGCAGAATACAATGATGAGCAGCCTCCCATCAAGCTTCATCATCCTTTTCACAGCTGAGAAAACAGGATGAGCTCTGCTCATGTTAAGGCGAGGAGCCCAGTAGACGGCGCGTATATAGCTTCTTGATGACCCTTTGAACAAGCCCTTATAGCTCAGTGGTAGAGCGTTGCACTTGTATTCCACGCTATCAACGTGTGATTAACTTGCCATGCAAAGGTCCGTTGTTCAATCCAGCGTGGGGGCAACCCTTTTTGCTGCTCATCTCCAAGATGAGAGCTCGTTTGGCTCTCAAACCCGCTTGCTCCTGATATCAAACTACCGAAAAGCCTTATGGGGAATGCACTTGCCACTTTGCCGCGGTTGATCCACCTCCTTTCCAACTACTGAAAGCATGAGATTGGTCTGATAGGCCTTTTAGACTCGTGAGTGATCTGCGGGGGGAGGCGTGGCTTCCCCAGAGCAGCCTGAATGGGGTGGGAGAAGAAGAGCGGCTATCGTGGGTGTATGCGTGGCGTCCGGAGCCCCAGACTCGCACATCAAATGACTATGGCCGGAGGGGGGAAACCCAGGAGAAAAAAAGGGGGTTGTACCCCTTTCAGCCGGCCCGGCCAACTAGAGTAGAAAACACTCAATGGCGGGCGTTATCTCGCACTGACAGCACACACGTTTGTATAATTAGACAGACATTCAATTATAACTCGGTTTCGAAATAGGGCGGTATAGGGGTAACGAACAAGTCAAACGAGATAAACGGACAGACAAGCAGGAACAGTCCGACTCTAAAATGAAAACCGTACGAGTAAGAGAATATCTAAGCCCTCACAAGGACCTCTGCGTAGGAGCGCGCGCTGGTGGCGACGAGCTTCGCGGGGCCCTTGGATTCGGACACCATCCCAACGTCTTCCCAGTCTTCGAGCTCGTCCCGCCCGACGTGGCGGTTCGATACATTAAAGCCATCATCGTCAAGAGCGAGGACAGCACGAGTGGGCCGAATGATTTCAAAGTCATCGAGGATGTCAACTATGATAAGCTCATGTTAAAACGCGAACTGAAGCGAACGAGAGAGTGAAAAAACGCGGGAATGCGCGGGCTAACCTTTGCGACGGGACCTAGGCTCACGAACGAGCTCGCTGAGCGAGACCTCAACGCGTGCTGAGCGTGGTGCAGACGAGGGTGCGACCGATGCCCGAATGGCGTCCATGAAGAGCTCGTGCTCGAGGTCCATGCCCGCGAGAGCCGGGCCGTGAGCTTCGTGCTCATCGACGCGGACGGAGAGGCGCGCAGTGCGGCCGCGACCGGCGCCGACACGCGAGTCGACGCAATAGTTGCACTGGCAGCGGGGAACGCGTTTTCCCTTTTGCCGGTCGCCAGCCTTGCGAGCGAGCCAGCGCTCGTGCTCAAAGGCAGACTGGGTCTTGATCTCAGACATGATGTGCGACAGACTGGGGATGGTGGTTGTCGTGAAGAGAGGAGATGAGCGGGAAAGCAGGTATAAATACGAAGGGGTGTGTGGCAGAGTTAGGTATTGACTCGAGCGGTTGGTGACAGGGGAGGGCGAGAAAGGCACAGGTCTAATGGGCCGGACGAACTTGCCTGGGGCGTTTCTGCGTCAGTGAACCCTTTCACGTGACCAACAAAAGGCGGGGTAGATAGAACCGTGTCTTTTCCTCGGAACAACGTAACCTAAGACACCACGTTGGCCTGATTGTATTCTCATTTCTGCAAACAAAAACGTATCTGGAGATAGCGCACGATGCAGCCCTCGAGTCCGACCGAGGAGCCGGCCGGGTCAAGCTCAGCTGTTCACCCCCAGCTCGTCACGCATGACACCGCAATTAGGTCAAGGCGCCCGCCAGCTGACGTCGGGGGCGTCACTGCCCCACCCACGGCGCCTACCATACCGACTCTGGCGGAGGAGGGAGACAGCGATAACGGGTATCAATGGTCCGACGCCGAACAAGGCTCGACGTCCGAGTCTACCCGTTCTGCTACCCCAGCCGCCGTCCCTGTATCAGCCGAGTCACCTGGAGCCAGAACTCCCGCCGAAGAAAAGCAATGCCGGATATGCCTTGCAGGGCCCGAGGAGGAACATGAGCTTGGACGTCTGATTAGCCCATGTCATTGTCGGGGCTCCATTCGGGTGAGAACTGCACGTTGTTTGTTGTTGAGATACGTATTCATTAAACGGTTCTATTCAGTACGTGCACGTTCATTGCTTGAAGCAATGGCGAACCATGTCCCAGAGCCGGAGCGCGTTCTGGTCGTGCCCCCAATGCGGCTTTCGATACGCTCTCGCACGCACACGTGCGTTGGGGCTTGCGACTTCTCCAAGTGAGTGTTATTTCAGCGAAATACACGCAACGATTGACACTCCTCGGTCTAGTCATCCTCAGCTCGGCTTCGGTAATTCTATTCACGATAATAGTTTTGCTATCGTCGTTTATCGCGACCTGGTTCGTACCTGACGTCGGCGCTCTGAATGAGCCATCGTCATCAACTCGACGCACTAGCGATTCCGATTCATTCTATAGCTTCGGAACGATCGTTATCTCCCCATTGGATTATTACACGTATTCCTGGGATACCGCCAAAGACATATTCAAGCTGGCAGTTCGCACGATCGGTGACGTATCCAACACTGATGAATTCTGGAAAAAGGACGAGGGTGACGACAATCGGGACGAGGACATCGTGGACGACAGCTCTTACGAGAGAGTCCGTGGCTCGAGTGGAGGTTTCAAGAGTACCGTCAAGGTTGCTCAGAAAAAGAAAGCGCGTCAAAAGTCTTCTAAACGCAAACCTCGGACGCCGTCTAGGATTGAGCGCATCATACGAGGATTCATTTATCGGTTTACTACTGGACTGGGCGTCGTCGGTATCTTGTCTTTCTTGAATCTTCTATTCTCCTTTGGGCTTTTCGCACCTCTTCGTTTGCTTGGTGGGAACTGGACCCGGGGCCAACGGGGCCGAGGGGCGGCAAACGACACCGCGAGTCTGGTCATCGTGATATTTATATTGATCGGGGTTGTCAGGTGCGCATACAATCACTTAACCCATGCTTTTGTGCCAACCATGGCTTCTATCTAGGGCGGTATGGCTGGTCTACAAACTAACACGTCACCTCGCTCAACTTCTTCTTCGGCGCGCCGAAACTGCTATCCTTGAAGTCGGCCAACCCGACGAAGACGTCCCCCTAGAACCCTGGGGTCCATACCTCAAACGCGTCGCGCGAGAGCTTCCTCGTCAAATACGCACAATCCCGTATCGACTCTTACCCGGCATAATCGTCAATTGGGCGGCGATGGCACTCGTCCATGCGTGGCACGTCACGCGCGATTGGACTCGCGACGCGGTCGGCCAAATAGTCCAGGTCGGACCACAGCCTGCGGTACCAGTCGTCGGACACCAACGAGGGGTCTTTTTGGGTGACTGGTAACTGAGGGCTGAAACACCAACTCGAATCTTGCTTTGCGTAATCCCATGTACTATATTTCTGTCGCTATCACTCTTCACTTTGCGAACATTAGCCTCCTAAACGCAGAGTCACCTAGTCGTGCTTTCTTTGTCCTGTAAAGTAGTCTCCAAAATAAGCGCGCTGTTACCACCGGGACCAAAGTATGAAAGACCCGTGGCTTCACAACATGTTTTGAGTGTCTTTGTTCAGAACTTTGATGCGCAGAGGAATGGCGCGCATTGACCGTCCCGCGTTCAGTCAAAGGCGACGCGTTCGTGCTACTGTGCTCTTCTCAAGCCACCCTCAGTAGTATCTTCCTGCTTATCCTTACCTATTTTTTAAACATATTTTTCGGTTATAGAAATGGTACGCACGTCTTTGATGCTTTGCTGAAGTACTAACTAATACTCTATCTATTTATTGGTCTCGTACGACGTGTAGCGCCTTCGCTCTCAGTCAACTACTCCCTCGGAGAACACCCGTTCGCGTGCGAGTGTAGGCGGGAAGCCTATCTCAGCCCGCTCGGCCATCAGGACACCACGCCGGGCGAGGTTCATGCGCGACCGCCCCCCTTGCTCTTCAGCTGCAAAAGGCACAGACATCAGCAACCAATCGGTTCTAGATATGCGCGCCGCCGAGTCCTGTGTAGACCAGGCGCATATAACCACCCACCCCGGCTGGCGGGTGATGGATCTGTCGGAGAACCAGTGCGAACGAGACGACGACATTTTAGACTTGGAGGATGAGGAGTTGCGTGCGTAATTCAATTTTCTTGTGGGTATTCCATCATTGACAGGATGGAACAGTGGAAGTTCAATATGCGGAGGAGTTCGCGGTGACACTATACCAACTGTCTGCGGATAGAAAATGGATCGATTTAGGACCTGGCCAGCTCATTTTGGAAGCATGCATATATTCGTCCAGAGCTGGTAAGTTCACCCAGCCCATACGTCGGTTTAGGAGCTAAGCTTCGCCTCACAGTCGTTCGAATGGCTAAAACCCACCGAATATTAGCAAACTGGAATATCTTTGGGGGGATGAAAGTGGCGCGATTTTTGACGACCGTGATCGCCGTGGGTATCGTCACTGACGACGACGGCAGTCAGCGGGTGGTCAGCTATGGCTTGCGGGTAAGTTAAATGAGCCCATATCCTTTTGTACTTTGTTGAGCATTTGGTCCTCAGGTCGAAACACTCGAACGAGCTAAAGACCTGGCAATCTTACTTAGCAGTAACACACGCGGGATGCAGATGAACCTCGATCGCTTGGTCCCCAAGGTTCCCGCAGAACAGCGCGCGAAGATACTTGATAACATGACCGACAGGCTGATCGTCCTTCAAAGGCGGCTTGGTGTTCTGAACAACAACAGCAAACTCAGCGCGCTCGTCGAATCTGAACTTTCATCGATGCTTGAAATGGGAGCAGAGCTGAAATATTGAGAAACATCGACAGCGACAATATACCTGCGTATTACATATATAAGCCCTTTTGTATTACCGTTATAAACATGCCACGTCGAATATGCGATTAGAATCGTCGGCGGAGTCGCCTTTGAATATCAAGCAGCTTCGCGGTCGTCTCGTTCTGCTGCTCGGTTGCGCGCGCATTGAGAATGAACTCGGAAACGACCTCATCGAGATAGTTGACGGGGAACTCGCCCCGCGGTGATCCTGCTCCAGGACGACTCTGCTCGTTCAACCAAGCCTCGAGGAGGATGGTAATTTCCGCAAGTACGTGGTTAGTCCGAGTAATGTCGTTATATGGCGGCACCTGTAGGGGAGGTCAGCGAC